ATTCCACACGCCGTTGGACCCATGCGGGGGGACGAGCTCAGACTTGGTCGAACAAAAACCTCAACCTTGGTCGAAGTGGGGCAAAAAACGGCAGAAAACTGACACTTATTTACAGATACCATTATAGCCTTTATAACTAGGTTATAGTTAGTCTTTTAGTCTAGCAAGATAGTACTAGATATTTAGATAGAGGTATAATACTATTGGAATATGAATTTTATACCAACTATCTACTAACTATATGTGAGTTACCCTTGATATAGTTTAAACATGTAGAGCATATATAAAGGACTTGCAGAGTATACTTAGCGCCTTTATGTTTTTGCCCCACTTCAATCAAGGTGGAGGTTTGTTCGACCAATTCTGAGCTACGTGCTTGGACCCATGCGTGCCGAGGCAAAAGTCAACTTATCGTCCGTGGGCTACAGATAATGGCACCGATGGTGGCGCGGGCGTGCAGGGGCAGGAGATTGTAAGGCGATAGAACGATGGGACGGAGAATAATCGAGAGACCCTTGCGCACAATCAAGTACTGCTAGAGGGCGCGACAGTTGACGTCAAGCGGCAGAGACGGGAAAAACCTTTTGAGGGAATGGCGCACTGCGAAAGCTAATCAGCAGCTCTTAAAAAGTCAGCGGTCGCAGACACTCGCCCATTTTCGCGGCCCCATGTAGATTCAACACTTTGTCCAATCCGCTCCAAAGACACTGCGAATAACCATTCGGTCTTTCCCTCCTGCCCTTGTATCGTATTATGGGCACAATGGAGTACGACTCAAGAACAGTCGCCGAGCACAAAGTGGCCAAGGACGCCTGGATGACCATCCATGGTAAAGGTAGCTTTTGATTTCCTTATTCCGCCTTTTCACGGTAATCACTAACGGGAGACAAGTATATGATGTAACAGAATATCTCCAAGACCACCCTGGTGGTGCCGAAGTCCTAGCAGAGGCTGCTGGCACAGATGCCACAGAAGACTTTGACAACGCTGGCCACTCGGAAGACGCATTCGACATTATGGAAACCTATAAAATCGGCGCCCTCAAGGGCTACAAGCCAAAGCCCCAGCGCGAGGCCATTACAGTGACACCAGCTCCCGAGATGGAGAAGCCGGCACCGGGCAAGACACACTCGCTTCTACCGAAACACGCAAATTCTGGCCTCTTCTTGCTGGCCGTGACTGGCGTCTACTACGGCGCCCGCCGTCACGGCCCCCCTACACCGAGATGGCTGCTGTCCATCCTCGACAATGAGACGCCTGGCCGACGTGGCTTCGGCTTCACCAAGGGTCTGCTGGCAGGCGCCGGCATCTTTGCCGTCGTTGGTGCGCTCCTTGCACAGCGTTTCGCGCGCATGGCCGTCCAGAGCAAGCCCTTTAGCAGCTACCCAGCACACATGCGAGTGCCCGAGCCAGTCCAAGAGGACACACTGCTGCAGCGTGGCCTGCTCGACCCCGCCACGTATTTGCATCTCCCGCTCAAGGCCAAGGTTCTGCTCTCGCCCAACGTGTATCGCTTCACATTCACTCTGCCCACGATGGAGACTGTTCTCGGCCTACCCATCGGGCAGCACGTCGCCATCAAGGCGGGCGTGGCTGGCGAGAGCGTATCGCGCTCCTACACGCCCGTCTCGAATAACGCGGACCGCGGCGTGCTGGAACTCGTCATCAAGGTGTATCCCGACGGCAAGCTGACAAATAACTACCTGAAGAATCTGCAGGTGGGCGACGAGGTGCTCTTTCGCGGGCCCAAGGGCGCGATGCGGTACACACGCGGCCTGGCAAAAAGAATCGGCATGGTCGCGGGCGGTACGGGCATCACGCCCATGTTTCAGGTTATCCGCGCCATTTGCGAGGACGACCGGGACTTGACGCAGGTGAGCCTCATTTACGCCAACAAGACGGAGCAGGACATTTTGCTGCGCAAGGAGCTCGACACGTTTGCGCGCCGCTACCCCAAGCAGTTTAAAGTCTTTTACCTTTTGGACAACCCGCCCGAAGATTGGGCGTATGGAGAGGGGTACTGCACGCAGGAGCTCATCGAGGAGAAGCTGCCAAGCGCGAGCACCGATACCAAGATGATGCTGTGCGGTCCTCCGGATATGGTGAGTGCGGCCAAGAATGCCTTGGTGAATTTGGGGTTTGAAAAGCCTGGTGCAATGCCGAAAATGACGGATCAGATTTTTCTCTTTTAGTTTCTGGACCTTAGATAGTCCAAGGAGGTCTCTGTGTTTTATTTCTTTGTACTTGCTTCGTCAGACTTGCAGCCACCTTTTTTAAACAGCCCAGGACTCGATAATTTAGAAATGCATTAGAAGGAATAGAATTAGGCTTAGTTATAAAAAATTATCGTCATCAGTGACTGACGGCATACTCTGGAATCCAATATTCTTCTTCTTCGGCACGGGCGCCCTCAAATCAAGCATCTACTTTCGCATCCAAATCTCCCCAATCGGATCACCCGGCTCAGCTACGCACCGCCATTCGCCCATGCCGAGATGCTTTGGCGCTCTTCGCTTGCCGCGCCCTCCCCCACCAATAATGAGGTTGCCAGGGCGGTACATTTCATCCTTATGCATACGACGCAGAACGCTACCATGAACTCGAACGCCAGGGGGGACGTCCCTCACTTCTCCTCTCGGAAGCGGCCAGCGAATGGGTTTCCATGAGCCGTCTGGCTGAAGGTCCATGCGGCGAAACGGAAGCCACTCCATCATCCTCCAAGCTGTGACGGCAATGAATCCCAGTCCGTCTCCGTACATGAGGGAGTCGTGGAGTCGTGAGGTGTGCGATTGATGCAGGGACTCTGTAAAGATGGACGAGTGCTGAGACTTGTAGGAATTCTGAGTCTCTACCCAGGTCGTTTCACCACCAATTGATGGGCTGCCTTGGTCTGGGTTCGGACTCTCAGGCCCTTGCACGTTGACGACCACCTCGGATTCAAAACAGCCCATTTCAATGAGTTTTTGCATGTCGAAACCGAGACCAGCATTCATTGCTTCTCGCACAATCCACGTCAAAGGGACGTGGCTGGCGCTCCTGCAATCGCCAGACACGGGCCATCCACCGCCAATATCGGCGTGGCCACCAGCAAACCAGACTTCGTCAATGTCTTGGCCAACTTCTTCTTCAAAGTCTGGCTTCTTCGAGCTTGCACCGTGGCAAGCTTGTCCGTGTCCGTTGCGGTGCCAAGACTTGAATGAGCGCGTCCGAGGAGCCATCCGGTACGGAACGTGGCGACTGCGCGACCTGCTGCGCGTTGCTGCCTTTTGCGGCGCCGCAGCATCGGCCGGCGAAAGCAAGACTCTGCCTGATCGTTCAGGTCCATGATGATCCTCCACCTCCTCTTCAATCGCAGTGTTTTGGGTGCCAATATTCTCCTCGTCGGCTGCGTGATGCTCGTCACCGCTGACGTAGTGCTCGAAGCTCCTTCGCACGGGGGCGAGAAACTCGGAGAGACGGCGATGATGCGGTCGCCTATCTTGGTGCGTCTTTTGGTACAGGAGATCCTGGCGAAACTTGGCTCTTCGCTCGTCGATGCTGACGGCGTGACGAATAATCTCGGCGCTGGTTCGCGCAGTGTAGGGAAACTTCGCCCTTTGCATCCAAGCGCTCTCGAATCGGGAGACGGAATTGACCGTATCAAAGAGTCCAAGGAACCGGATTCGTCCGACAGGACGGGAAAAAGTCTCTCGAAAGTTCTTCATAAAGGTGTACATTTTGTCAGTTTCGTCGTCCACCTCGGTCGCGGCGTCAGAGCCGTCCTCGTCTCCGCTCTTGCCGCCGTGAGACTTGCGGCGGCATTGCCAGCGCGAGAATGCCCGCCATGCAAATCGAATCATTTCTTCGTTTCCATGGGATAAGAGGCCAATGTAGTCGAGCATCTCTGCCAAGAACCGCGCAATGTAGGCGCCTCTGCTGAATCCAAACATGTAAATTTGATCGCCATTCTGATAGTAGCGCATGAGGAATCGGTATCCGGAAACGACATGCTGATCAAAGGTTGATCCGATGGCCGAGTCTTTGGCCTTTTTGTAATGCTCCGTGATTTTGGAAACAATACCCGACTGCGTCAAAGCCTGAGACGTCACATAGGTTCCGATTCCAGCTACATCATCGCCATTAGCATGGGGCGTAGGCAAGGGTACACTCAATATGCCATACGCTGGTAGTAGTGATATTGATTCTCGGCGCTGCGATCCAGCATGCGGAAAATTTTCAAAATATTGCTGTCGCTGTCATCGCCATGGAATTTATTCCCCGTTCCGTCAAAGCAAAGCACCAACTTGCGTTGGGCGGGCTTCGACGCTTCTACCGGATTATCCATTTCGAAATTCGACTTTTGAGAAGATGGTTGAAGAACACTGAAAGAACTGGCCAGTGGCTAATCCTGTTGCACCGAGTTTCGTATTTGGGCATCTCTGATTGCCCGCCCGTCTCCGGGACGGCACGGGCCTCGGCATTTGAAGTTCATGTTGGGAGACATACTTTCCAGCTCGCGGCGGGGTAAGAACATCAGTTGTACCAGTACCTTGTTGCTAGACAGCTTTGATAGCATCCTGTGGCCTTTATTGAGTGGCCGATCGATATTGCATATTGAAACCTGCATAGTGCGGAACTCATCCGGGACCCTTGCCACGACCCTGTCTAAGTTCAGCCAGCCACCTTGGTCTACCTCATTTCTACAACAAATACGAAATCTAAACTTTATAGGGACCTTTTTTCTTCGGACTGCCAAAGTCCGAAGTGAAACACGCAGATTCAAAATGCTGCCAAGCGGCCAAGCTGCTCAGCTGCCACTGGCCTGCCAGCACAGAGTACAGTACACGAAAATGGTGATACGAGAAGACGAGAAACTTGTACTCTGAAGCACGCTTCCCAACTTGATTTCGCATCATGTTGCGTTTTAATATTGCTTAATACATAGTCCTAAGCTATAACACTTTGGAGAGGGACTTGCTTGCATGGCCCACAGTGTAGCGCATGGGGTCATATTGCTTCTTCTCTCATGTACGTATTGAGAAATGCTATCCGTAATTTTAGAATTTGGCATAATGGCTGCACCATTGAAAAGCAATTTCCTGCCTGTGATTAAAGAGGGGCTAGACCTGGCTGTAAATGCATGTCTCGGAATCTGCTTGCAGCTGAATTTAGTCCAAACAATTTATTCGGCGGCAGATAGCTGGGGATGCAACCTGCCTGCACGATGATGTGGCTTGCTTTGTGTGCGGCGTACGAGCACGCAAACTAGTCCTGCTTGCAGCTGAAGTGGGAGCACCTGATAAATTGTCCAATAACAGATGTTATATATCCAATGCTACTCAGTATGCCGCGGCGGCCCGAGTCAGACCACGAGCACGAGCTGTCTTGACAAGATTGGAAGATATTGGGCGTACTGGTACATGAGAAAATCACGGCAGGCCCACCGTCATCACCTAAAACAGATCTCGCAGTCGGTCAAAGAAAGCATATAGTCTGACATTGGTGTACTCCCAGATTTGCTGGTTTTCCCATTTCGGTTTTGAACTGAACCTCCCACTTGACGCTGCTTGGAGATTTCATGCAAGAATGGCAACGCAGAAAAAGACTTCGTCCATAGCTGTGGATGGCCAGAATGGCCAGAATGGCCACAACGGCCACGCCACCAATGGACACACAATCGGTTCAAATGCTCAGAAACGACAGCCATTGCCAAAGTACCCAAAGCCTTCCAAGACCAATAGCCAGGGGAGCCCATCGCATCTTTCCGGGATTTTGCAACTCAGAGCCGCATCGCGCAGACCATTGCCGACGGAGATGGGAGATGGCACCTACCGGTTCATCAAAAGCCGACCGTCTCTTCTCAAAGACTTGCGAAGCATGACTTGGTCTGGTACGTATTTTTGATACAGGTAGCAATCTCGAGTATACCCTACTAATACCATCTGACGTCAGATTTCAAAACGATCAAAGCGATTGTTGCTGCCAAGTTGAAGCGGGAGACACAGACAAACGACAAGACCATGCTCATGGAAAAAACAATCCAGCTCGTTGCCGGTCTACCCGACTATTCTAGACGTCAAGAGCTGTTGACAAACGATTTTATTGACAAGTTGTGGTATTCATTGGACCATCCTCCGCTACTCTACATGGGAGATCAGTATCGGTTCCGCCAGCCCGATGGCTCGAATAACGTAGGTTGCAAGCTCGAGTTTGCATTGCACTGACTCTCCAGACTGACTTGATAATGTATGAAGAACCCTCTTTTGCCTCGTTTGGGAGCAGCCGGCACCGCCTACTCCAGGACCTGCAAACCGCGTGGAATGGGTCTTGGTGCTTTGCCTGCCCCCGACACCATCTTTGAGTCCATCATGGCACGAAATGAGTTTCAAAAGAATCCAAACAATGTTTCGAGTATTCTGTGGTACTGGGCGACAATCATCATTCATGGTAGGTGCTATTTGCGATGGTTGCCGCGACCTTTGCTGATTGTTCACTAGACTTGTTCAACTCCAGCTCCGCCGACGGCAATATCAACAACAATTCGTCCTATCTTGATCTCTCTCCACTATATGGAAACAGCCAGGCAGCACAAGATTCCATCCGGACCTTTAAAGATGGAAGATTGAAGCCAGATGCTTTTGCCGACAAACGCATGCTGGGCAACCCCCCCGGTGTCTGCATTCTTCTCATCATGTTTAATCGATTCCACAACCACATTGCAGCCAACTTGGCTGCCATTAATGAGGGCAATCGATTCCCGCAGCCTACTGCAGATCTTCCTCCCGAACAAGCCGCTGCAGCGTGGAAAAAGTACGACGAGGAGTTGTTCCAGACTGCACGTCTGGTAACATCCGGTCTCTACATCAACATCACCCTCATTGACTATGTGCGAAACATTGTCAACTTGAACCGTGTTGATACAACTTGGACGCTTGATCCAAGACAGGAAATGGGAGTCGCAGTCGGGACGCAAGAAGGATCGCACAGTGGTGTTGGAAACTCTGTGTCTGCCGAGTTCAATCTTTGCTATAGGTGGCACTCGTGCATTTCCCAGAAAGACGAAGAATGGATGCAGGATTTCTTTACTGGGCTACTGGGTGACAGCGACCGAGAACTCGATTTTGCGGCACTGATGACGGCCATGAAGAAGTTTGAAATGACGTTGCCCCAAGACCCTGGAGAGTGCACCTTTGGCAAATTCACTCGAGGTGCAGACGGCCGCTTCAACGATGACGAGCTGATGGAGGCTCTGACTGCGGCCATTGAGGAACCTGGTGGCGCATTTGGAGCACGGAATGTGCCGAGGATAATGAAGCCGATTGAGGCGCTGGGTATCATTCGTGGCCGTAAATGGCACGTGGCGAGTCTGAACGAGTTTCGCAAGCAATTTGGCCTCAAGGCCTATGATACATTCGAGGACATTAATTCCGATCCTTATGTCGCTGACCAGCTGCGCCATCTGTACCAGCATCCGGACAATGTGGAACTCTACCCGGGCATCGTCGCCGAAGAAGCCAAAGCGCCCATGGCACCTGGAGTCGGAATCGCCCCGACATATACGATTTCTCGAGTAGTCTTGTCCGATGCTGTATCGCTCGTCAGAGGAGACAGACACTACACGACCGACTACCACACAGGCTCCTTGACAAACTGGGGTTTCAACGAGGCCAACTATGACCTGAGCGTCAACCATGGATGCGTCTTTTACAAGCTATTCATTAGAGCTTTCCCAAACCACTTTAGGGAGAATTCGGTGTATGCTCACTATCCCATGGTGACACCAGCAGAGAACCGCAAAATCCTTGCCAATCTGGGACGAGCTGACTGGTTCAACTTTGACCGCCCAAGCTACGTGCCGGAAAAGATTGACATTATTTCCCATACCGCCTTTAAACACGTTTTGGGCAATGATGCCACGTACCATCCGGACTGGAAACAGGGCCTGGGCTACTTGATGAATGAGCGCAGCCTCGAAACCATGCTGGCAGGCGGGCCAGATTTACACGCCATACAGCGCAGCTCTGTCGGTGCCTCATTATTTGGACAAGAGTGGAAATCGGCCGTCAAGCAATTTTACAACAATATGAGCGAAAGATTAATGGCGCAGCATTCGTACCAAATTGCAGGGCAGACACAAATCGACATTGTTCGCGACGTCGGCAACTTGGTGCACACACATTTCGTTGCTCGCGTGTTCAACCTGCCGCTCAAGACAAAGGACCACCGAAAGGGAGTCTTTTCCGAACAGGAACTCTTCAAGTTTTTGACCATGATCTATGTCTGCATCTTCCTGGACTATGATCCTGTCAAGTCCTTTCCGCTGCGCCGGGCGGCCAAGGCAGCGTCCGCGCAGTTGGGCGCTCTCATTGAGGCCAACGTCAAGCTGGGACTTTTATTCGGCATGCGCGGCCTGTATGTGAAGAAGTTTAAAAATGACGTGCTGGCGCAATACGGCCACCAACTTGTCCAAGCCTTGGCCAAGACGGGGCTAAACGCCCATGAGATTGCGTGGAGTCAAATATTGCCGACGGCTGGCGCCATGGTGCCAAACCAAGCACAGATGGTGAGTAGTTGCAAAAAAAAAAAAAAAAAAATATTGTGTGGCTTTTGATACGGGAAAAACTTACTTATTTTTCTTTTTGCTAGTTTGCACAATCTGTTGATTGGTATCTATCCGAACAAGGTGAACCCCACCGAGCCGAGATTGAGCGCATCGCCGCCCAAGAAACGACCGACGCCTCTGACGCCTTGCTCTTGGGCTATGCCATGGAAGGCGTGCGCATGGCTGGAACCTTTACGCTGTATCGAAACGTGGCGGCTCCAGATACGCTGAATGATGACGCAGGCAGGCCGTTCCCTGTCCAGCATGGCGAAAAAGTCTTTGTCTCTGTAACGCCAGCGACGAGAGACGGCGGACTCCCTCATCCCGAGAGGGTTGATCCCAAGCGCCCATTGGACTCGTACGTGCAGCACGGCTTGGGCCCCGAGCTCTGTCTTGGACGCGAGGTGGCGCAGACTGCCTTGATTGCCCTTTTCAGGACTGTTTTCCGCAAGAAGAATCTGCGCAGAGTTCCAGGGCTGCAGGGTGAACTGAAGAGACTGGCCAAGCCGGATGGCAGTCACGGATTCATGACGGAAGATTGGGGCACGATTTGGCCGTTTCCAACAAGCATGAAGCTAATGTGGGATGAAGAGTAATGAAGAGTAATGGGGTTGTGTTAATGTATCTTCTCTCGCTATTCTCTTGAAACCAAGCACATTATTCTTAAACCATTGCACCCACGTACGTAGCTGCTCTCACGAAAGGTACCAGTCAGAGGCAATACAGTGAGACTACTCTCATGTACACTTGCAAAGACAGGCAAGTCACTCTTTTGTTTTTTTTACTTGATGAAAAGTTTGCGTCTAGAAAGCTTGCAACGAGGGCGCTTTGAGGCTGCTACCACGTGCTGCGGCATGGCGCCTCAGGAGCTTAACTGGTAGTCGCGTCAGCCACGGCGTCAGATATAACAAAGCTAACAAATAAAAAAAAATGATCATTTCTGTATGTATATAAATCGCACAACTTCTAATCTCCAGCTAGTTTAGCAAGTTTCTCACTTCACCTTGCTTCTTCCGCCTGCCCAACACCATGGTGCTTCTCTCCCGTGCCGCGGCCCTCATGGGCAGCGGACTCGCCTTTATCATTCCATGGACTCTTGGACATGATACACCCATATCCAATAGATACACCGAATTTGCAAAAATCAAGGAAGTTCCGGCACATTACACACCCGTACGAGGCAAGGGAACTCCGATGCGAAACACACCTGTGCAAAGTCAGCAAATTCCAGTACAATACACACCCGTGCAAAGTCAGCAAACTCCAGTACAATACACACCTGTACGGGGCAAGGAGACTCCAGTACAATACACGCCCATACGGGGCCGGGAAACTCCGGTACAATATACACCCGTACGACCAAAGGAAAATCCACCGCAATACGCACCCGTACCACCAAAGGAAAGTCCACCACAATACTCACCCATACAACCAAAGGAAAGTTCACCACAATACACACCCATGCGACCAAAGGAGAATCCGACACAATCCATACCCGTACCAACACACACACCCGTACTCAATAAAACAGAGGTTGAAACACCCAAGTTCTGTGATGAGATCAAGTTTGCAGGACAAAACGACACAATCTTTCGATCCACCATTCCCTGCGTAAAACGAAATCACCAGATACCAGAAGAGCGAGAGCAAGAGCTAAACATGGAGGGGGTTATCAGACCAAGCAAAGATTCATGGTACAGAGCGCCACCTGCATTTGATGCTGCGCCGCCGGGAGAAGTCCTCAAGATTCGTCGGGCACCTGGTAATCTCAAATCGGTCTTGAAGAACCTCGATTATGCCGACCAAATATTATACACCAGCAGCACCTCGTACTTGCAACCTACCTACGCGCTCACTACTATGCTTGTCCCCAAGGAGTGGGACAGAAAGTACTCGCGCGTCGTGTCTTGGCAGGTGCCGTATGAAAGTGCCAATGTTGATTCCAGTCCGAGCTACTCGCTCTCCAGAGCCTCGGGCGAGATACACTACGACGTCTTGGATCAGCTGCTGGCCAGCGGCTACCATGTCAATATCCCCGACTACCAGGGCCCCAATTCGCATTTCGGAGCTGGAAAAGCGGCAGGGTTCAAGGTGATTGACTCTTTGCGTGCCCTCAGAACCATTGCCTATGGTCGTTACAACTTGGACCCCTGGTGGATCCGTCATATTGCCTGGGGCTATGGAGGAGGAGCTCTTGCGACAGCATGGGCGTATTTGCAGATTAAGAAATATGTCGGTTTCGGTCACCAGAAATACGTTGACGTGATTGATAACAAAGTGTATGCTTGGGTCATTGGTGGTGTGCCAATCGACATGCTGCACATACTCGAAAATGTCAACAACAAGGTGCCCGCAGGCTTTGCCATCAACGCCATCTCTGGCATGCTGCAGGAGTTCCATCTCATGAGGGACGCAGTGGAAAAGTTTGGCAAGAAGGAGGGTGCACATAACGTTACTGTTTTTGAAAGAGTCCGGACGCTGAGCCTGGAGCAGTCGATGAATGAGTTTACATATGCCAACATTAGCGACTACTTTGAAGGGGGCATCGAATCGGTGACGTCGTGGCTGCGAAAAAAGAACTTTCACAAGGAGATTCTCATGGAAAGACCAAACATGTTGAAGACGCCAGAATGGACCACGGGTATTTTCGTCTACCACGGGGTCCACGACAGCATCTTTCCCGTGGAGCACGTGGATAAGCTGTTGCACGAGCACTGGTGCAACGCGCGCGCCTTTATCGAGTACATGAGAAATCACGAAGGCGACCACGAGGAAAATTATACCAACATGGATGTCATTGCACTGGAATGGATAGCAAGACGTTTCATGTCAGAATTTCTTAGTGATGCCGGCAAGGGTCTGATTGAAAGATTTCCGAATCTGTCCAGAGAAGAATGTTTGGTTCGCAGTGGATCTCTCAACGCCCCAATATGGGATTTTGAGGCATATAAGAAGCGGTTTAAAGCAGAACAGGAGGCCAAGAAAAAGGATGAATTGTAGGTGTTTTTTTTTACTTTTTTTTTATTTTTAAAATTCTTTGGGGGGTTTTGGGTTTTGCGAGGGAGCTTACAGCGCCCCCTCATTATGATGGGATTTTCGACGCGTATACCAAGAGTCAGAATCAAAGTAACGGAAAGAGTCGGATAGAGAATTTGTAGGTAGTTTGCATTTCTAATTGATATGATAAGATTTGATTTTTTTTTTTTTTTGATATGTATTCTTACTGTCGTCGCAATTCGCACGTCCCCGGATTGACAGGCAGCCACCAAAATCGGCAGTGGCTTTGAAGTTGACAGAATGACAGCGGCCAAAGTGGCAATTGCGGCCCATAATATCGTACCGATGTCCGGATGTACACGAGATTTCGGGACATTTTCCCGCACAGACAGATAAAAGAGGAGTCTCTTTTTGTGCCTGCATTCACCTTGTTGAACTTGTTATCAATCCCGTGGCGACATGTCTGACCGCCTGTCCATGCACCGTGCTACCGGAACCCAAATTTCAGGGATGCTATCTCCGTATTACCGAGCAACTAGTTGATGGGTACGAGTTGGCGATCTCATTGTCACCCTACCAAGTTACTTGACGAACTACGGAATCCAGGAGCTGCAATATGAGTGGTTCTCTTTAGCCCCAAGTCGACTCCACTGGCAACCGGCCGACTGGTTCCATGGCTTCCGGACAGAAGTTGGTCGATGCGCAATCACAAGCAGATTTCTTTTCCATTGTTGGACCCGATTCGTCCAACCATTTTTTTTTTTCGTCTGTGCTACTGCGGCCACGCACCGTCTTAACTCTCCGAGACGACCTCGGGTAGACTAATTGGCCCCCCCTCCCCCCCATATTCGCCCCCAATCGCCGCCCTATCGTAGGTCTTGAAAGAAGGCGCAAGAGGCAATTAATGTACTCGGGACCGCATATTCTCCAGATTAATCTAATTGTTGGCCATTCAGCCCTTGAGCACTAGCACTAGACATTTCGACGTCGCTAGCTGCTCCTCCTCCGTACGAAGTACATTGCATACAAAGCGCCACCGTTTTATTACCTAGCCTCGCGCGACCGAGCGTGGCTTTTCCCTCGGGGGCCCTCGACAAAAGGGTGTTTTGGGTGGGAGGGCACATTTTCGTTTTCTTTTCTTTTTTTTTTTATAAAAAACCTCGTCCTACACCCTCGATGCATCAACTACGATCTTGACAGATCTCATCTCTGTTTGCCGTTTGTACTATAATAAATCCTCCGATATGAAGAAGCTCTCCTTCTTGGCGGCAACAACTGTGCCCCTGGCCCTAGCAGCCAAGACCCCAGCAGCGGGTGGCTTGGCACAGGCATTGGGGGAATTTCCAAAATGCTCGGTATGTGCACAGCCTTTCCTTTTGTCGAGAACCCACGCAATTGGCAACATGAGTGGTTTTACTAAAACGTTCATCATCTACAGGTACCATGTCTAGCCGAATCATTAAACAATACAAAATGCGCTGCAGCCGACACGGCCTGTATTTGCGCTGACAAGCCGCTACAAGACTCTGTGGCTGGCTGCGTGCTACACAGTTGCAGCACCCTGGAAGCATTGTGTAAGTCGTGCTGAGACAAATGTGGCAGTCGGTGGTTATCAAGACAAAACTTTGGCCGAGTTTTGCTAACAAATGTTGTTGCTGCAGCCGTCAAAAACATTACCAACACAGTATGCCAGGTACCGGCCCGCGACCGAAGCAACAAGTACATTATCGTGTCGAATGTCCTGGGCGTAATCTCGGCACTGTTTGTTATACAAAGATTTGTATTCAAGTTTTGGGCTGGTCTAGACTTTGGCTGGGATGACTGGTTCTGCCTAATGACCATCCTCAGCGGCGTCCCGGCCACGGTCCTCAATGCGCACTACCTGCCGCAAAACGGCATGGGTCGCGATGTGTGGACGCTCACGCCGAGCCAAATCACCAAATTCGGTCTGGGCTTCTACGTGATTGAGGTGCTCTACTTTCAGCAAGTCGCCACGTTGAAGCTGTCGCTACTCTTCTTTTACATTCGCATCTTCCCCAGTCGGCCGGTTCGGCGGTTACTCTGGGGCACAGTGGCCTTTGTGTCGCTATGGGGCATCATCTACGTCTTTATTGGCATCTTCCAATGTACGCCAATCAACCACTTTTGGACCAAATGGGATGGCGCCCATCCTGGACACTGCGTAGACATCAATGCTCTTGGTTGGTCCAATGCAGGCATGAGTATCTCGACCGACGTATGGATGCTTGCTATACCCATGTGGCAGCTCAAAACTCTGCAACTTGATTGGAGGCGAAAGATTGGTGTCGGGATGATGTTTGGCGTGGGCACCTTGTAAGTCGTCATCATCTTGGGGGGTTACCCGGAGCCATAACGGCACAGAAACTAACAGAACATGCAGTGTGACTGTGGTGAGCATGCTCCGCCTCAAATCGCTCGTTGCCTTTGGCGCCGACTCCCAGAACCCGACGTGGGAGTTTTTCGACGTGGCCATGTGGTCGGACATTGAAATCAATGTCGGCTTAATGTGCACGTGCATGCCGTCTCTGCGGCTGCTGCTCGTCCGCCTATTCCCCAAGGTCCTCGGCACCACGCAGCGCTACTACGCCAAATACTCTCACTCTGCCAACAACAACAAGTCAGCCCTTGACCGAGAGCCGCCGCGGGGGTTCGGAACCGTGTCCACGTCGACGAGGGCGGAGCGTGATACATTCCGAGGGAACCTTCAGCTGAACCAAATCTCCTACCACAAGACGTACGCGGTGAATTATGGCGAGGCGGACGATGTCGAGCTATTTTCCGGTGCTGGCGAAATGGAAACGACAAGTGCAAAGTCGCTAACGTCAGTCTCTGCGCGAGAGAGCTCGGAGAAGGCGCAGCAGGGCAGACTGTAGGGTAGATAGTTGTCTGTCACTTGCACAATACCAATCAATAATAAAAAAACAAATTTCAAACTTTTCATGCGATAATCTTATAATACTCATTTTCATTTTCATTTTATTTTTATTTTTTTTAGGTTGTTTTCTTTTTTTTCTCTTTTCAAACGCGGTATAACCAGCCTCACAGGCCTGTGTTGTCCAAAGCCCAGTAGGCCGATCGATGTGTGCACACTTACACGCTGTTGGTTTGCCCAGGCCATCGGGGCCGAAGCCTACATTGACTTGCGACGACCGCACAGGTGGTAAACCCCTTGGCTTGGCATCCTCTTCCGCCGAAAACGGCTCCAATCAACAAAATCAGTAAAATCCAGATTGAAAACCAGATTACAGGTGGCGAGAAATGCCCAGCGATGGCTCATGTTTTGTTCCGATACGGCACACCGATCACGTGGACGCCTGCGAGACCGCCGACCACCGACGGCGCGGCTAGGCCAACCCACCGCCCGAGCATTTCGTCTAAGTCAGCTGGTCGGTGCCTGGAACAAGGAATGTGTCCCGAATAAAGTTGTTAGTTGGGCCGATGATTCGTCTATTTATCGTTTATATATATCTTGTTAGCTTCTAACTCTGCAAATAACGCTCGGTTCTTCATACTCATCATCACCAATCCGCAATATTAACACTCACTTGTCTTGCTATATACCCTAACCCTCATCATCATGGCCATGTTCAAGAATTACTTGGGCCTTGGATGGTCCAACTCTTCATCAGAGTCCAAAGATGACACCAAAAACACAGTCCGTGCTCTTCCAGCCTCGTGGTACACATCTCGGGATATGTATGAGCTGGAGAGGCGAGCCATCTTTTCTCGAAAATGGCTGCTGACAACCCACAAACTGCGTCTCAAAGAGTCTGGCGACTGGCTTCGATACGAGATTGCAGGATTCCAGTTTGTCATTTGCCGCGACCGCACGGGGTCAATCAATGCCTTTCACAATATTTGCAGACACCGCGCTTTCCCTGTCGTCACTGAACAGCAGGGCAACAACAAAGTGTTTGCGTGCAAGTATCACGGATGGTCATATGGCATGAATGGAAAGCTGGCCAAGGCCCCCGGCTATCAGGACATGGAGGACTTTGACAAGTCTCAAAACGGTCTGCTGCCTATCCATGTCCACATTGACCACAACGGCTTCATATGGGTCAATATGGATGGCAAACCCACGCCCGAGGTTGCGTGGGACGACAATTTCGGCGGTGTTGACACGCAAGAACGCTTCGAGGAGTACAACTTTGACGACTACGAGTTTGATCACGCCTGGGAAATGGAAGGCGAATATAATTGGAAGATTCTTGCCGACAACTACAACGAGTGCTATCACTGCAAAGTGGCACACCCCGACATCCCAAGTATCGCTGATCTCGAAGCCTACAAAGTCGAGGTCAAGGACTCGTACATTGAGCACTACGCCAACTCTACCCCCGAGCAGATTGCTCGCGGCTTCAAAGTCGCGCCAACCTACTTTTTTCCTAATGCCTCTATGAATGTCACGTAAGTTTTCCCAAAATCCCCCGCCCATCAACGAGAAAGCAAGCAAACACATTCTGACGAAAAAAAAACATGCAGGCCAAACTTTTTCTTTACTCAAAGATTTGTGCCGATTGGCCCTACACAATCAGCAATGAAGTATGAAGTCTTTAGACACAAGAATGCCGACAATGAAGCCTTTACCGTCATCAACGACATGTACAAGCGCATCATGTCCGAGGACAAATACCTGTGCATCAATGCCCAAAAGAATCTCAGCGCGGGCGTCTTCATCAACGGCGAGATGCACCCTACCATGGAAAAGGGCCCCCTGTTTTTCCAGCGCAAGATTCGCGAGGCCGTGCAGGAGCACTACGAGAAGGAGGTGCGAGCTGATGACCAGATTTGGCCGGCTCGGCAGACGCTGCCGTGCGGCGCCAAGGCGAGCGACAAGGACGTCGACTTTTGCGCAAAGGTCGACTGTCACAGCAAAATGGCCAACAAGTTGACTGCCAAGCAGATGATTGAAGTTTAAATTGTAATGGGCATGATTTGTGTCAAGATTGTTTCTAGCATTGCGATTACCATTTTTCTTTTACTAATTTTAGATAATTAATGTGATTATCTCTTTTCATTGATAACAGGGTAGAGTAGAGTTCAGTGCGGCGGTCCGATAATCGCAGCAGAGTGAACCACCAGGGCGTAATCTCTAGTCAACTAGCGCATGGATGATGGATGGATGATGATAACAGATTATCATGCCTTTCTTTTTCTTCAGCCACGCCGTAGAAACTTGTGTGCATTATCTAGACCTCCACAGAACTAGTTCCAGTGATGAGCGGCGATATCACTGGTGTGAGCCTGTAACTCCCACCTCGCCGATAGTCAACCTCAAACTAATCGTCGTTTAAACTCTTTGTCTTGCTGCCACCAAAACGTGCAGAATGTAACCACTTTCGCGGCCCAGCGTCCTGGTCGGCAACCCAATAGCAACCACCACGATAAAAGTAAGTTGGAAAAGGAGTGAAACCGCTCCACTCAACATTAGGGATGGGTTGCTCGAGTCTCGCCAAACTTGTTGTGTAATCTCTCCCGTTAATAATTCATCCCCCAGAATCCGGGGTGTGGAGCAGGCACGCGCCCAAACTACACTGCAGCTAACTAGGGCTTCCGATCTAGGCAAACCTGTTCATGGACCGCAGTTCTAGACTTTTAGCAGCACCCCCCCTCCCTTGTTCCTCCCTGTTCCTTACTCCCCCAAGTTGGCGACTTGACTTCCCAGCGACCATCCGATAGAGGGCCAGCTGCCAATCACCTGGGGCACAAAGGTAATGTATCGCGGTCGAGCGCTCAGTTTGCCAGTGAGTGCCAAGTTTATATGTTGCCCAACACACCGAACCCAAAAAGCCATTGTCACTGGACCCCTCTTTTTCCCTTTCCCCCCAATGAAACAGGTTGTGATATATCTACCAGTGGCGGGTTCTTCTCTCCGTGGGCGCCTTCTTCTCCTCGTGACGGACAACCCCGATCCAGCATTGCAAAGCGTCTTTTCGTTCTAATCTTAGTCGGCTGAGAAGCTTCCTTTCTTTACATTGAACTGTTGCAGCTGCTTGAAATATTTCATTCTTTGCTGCATCACCGTTGAAACTTTTTTACATCTTTGGTGCTTCGACTCTTTGTGCTTCGACTCGGATTTCCATCCAATGACAACTGTGGCACAGCCCGAGTGCGGCACTCCCTCCTCGACTCACAAACCGGCCAGAATGACCTCTCCAGAAGAAACCTCTGCTGGCCGCGGACGTCGTCGCTCCTATCACGCTTGTTTAACTTGCCGGTTTGTAGAATTTGACCTCATCCCAATCTTCCCCCCCCCCCAATCAAAAAAATGTCCCCCGAAATTAAGTCGTTTTTTTATGATACAGACGGAAAAAAACACGCTGCCCAGGGGAGAAGCCCGCTTGCTCCAGTTGCGTCCGTTTAAAGCAATCGTGCGCCTATCCGCCGGCGGTGCGCACAACGAGAACTGGTCGATCAGTACGTGGTGAAGGCCATACATAGAATGTGCGGCTCCCATCTAACAAACCGAAGGAGGAGAGACTGGCACACCTCGAAGAGAAACTCGACCGTCTTTTAAGCAGCAGGTTAGGGATTTTTCCCAGGTAAATGCGCCCTTCTATGCCGGCTTGTCGGCTGACTCTCTTTTTTTTTTTTTTTTTTTTTTGACCAGACAGGACCATCCGCCGCTCCAAGAACACCCCACCGAAGAGGCGATTGATGCATCCGATAAATCTGTTTCTGTGAGTCCTTCAGCACAGGAAGTAACATTCAAACCCGTCGAAAAGCAAACCCCGCCATCTGCCCAGCAGCCTTTGATTGATGTGACTGCCAATGGGGGGCCCGGGCCCGCTGATGTTGGCTTGGGCATCCGATTATATTTCGAATATTGTCACAGACAGCCAATGTGGTGTTTCGAATATGAAGACGTTGGCGATTTTACGCAATTATCCAAAGAGCTGGCTTGCAGCATCTTGGCACTTACAGCCCGGTTCTCACCGATGCGCGAACGTCTTGAAAAATACAACAGCGATGCAAAGCGACTCATCATGCTCCGTATTGCGAGCAGCACAGTAGAGGTTTCCACCATCGAGAGCCTCTGCCTACTTGCTTACTCTTCATTTATCGGTAATTGCTCACGACGCGCAGCAGCTACTTAGCTTTTACTAATTTTCGAGTCAGATGGAAATGTCAGTTTGGGTCAATTTCACCTTGGCCTTGCTTTTCAACTATGTCGGTCGGCGATGCTCGACGTGGAGGCGAGCTACTCTGATAAAGATCCCGCTACGCAAAGAAAACGCAAGCTCTTCTGGAGTTTACAAGTCTTGGAGCAATATTACGGGAAGCAGACAGGCCTCCTCAGTCTGCCAACCGAGATATTGAGGCCGTCATATGCGTCATCAGTCTCTCGAGACATTTCTCGATCAGAAACGGAAAACAAGCCCCCTCCTCTTCCGAGAGACGACTTGGGTCATTCCAGACCCACGCCAGACGAACCAGGTGTGTGGAATACCAGCGTACATCTCGGATGGGTATGGAGTCGAGTACGCAAATATGTTTCCGACTGCGCCCAAAACATATTTAATGAGCCATGGCGTCGAGACTCAATGTACAGTTCTGTCCTGTCGGATTTCATGGACGCCGAAAATAGGATTCCCATGTGTCATCGATATGACACGGTCAAATTTTACGAGAGAAAGGTTGATGAACTCAAAGTCAACCGAGGGTACTGGACGACGTGGCTCAAAGAACAATTTACATATCATGCCATACAAACTGTCCTCAACCACCCATTTCTGTATATTATCGGAGCCCAACACAACTCCAATCTCGCCATTCCCAACACTTTCTGGCGTCGGTCCTCGGAACTTGCCCTGATACATTCCACCTGGATCGTGCGTCTTATTGACATGGCCGTGGACAAACAAGTCCAGCTTATCGATCCATTTTTCGGCCACATTGCAGCCATTGCCGCCACCGTGCATCTGTACTACTGTTGCGCTGCTGCTGCCAAGTTGAAGCACAAGTCGAATACGGATTTTGCTAAATGTCGGCGCTTTTTAAAGTGCTTTATTCCATTCTCTCCTGCTTGTGCAGCATTGGTGAGTTTTTTATTTCTGTTTTTTTTTTTTCGTTGTACTGCTTAGATGCTAATTCGGTGACTTTTTTTTCTTTTCAAGGATAAAAATCTGGACAAAATGGCAAGAATTGCTTCCGGCTCAGATTCCGTCGATGTGGAGGACTGGATGCCGTCGAGAATCTACCTCAGCGTCCCACTCATGTGGGACATTTTGCAGTTTACATGCGTTTCTGGTTCGCCAGGCATCTTTACAAATGATTTGGCGCATGCGCCTCATCATAGAGATGCCATGGAAGAGAATTGCGTCTTGGAAATCGTGGTGGCGACGTCGCCAGAGATTAACATCAACACGGCAGATGGCGGCCAAGAAGCGCCGACCGTGTCTTACAAGGCATCGGTATCACCAGGCGGCAATCCGACTCATTCTCTGATTCATACTGAGCCGGTGCCGTTGGCCGACAACTTGACCATGAATACGACACCGTGGCTATATGAAGATTCGTCTCAGTTTACTGGCCTGGGCGACATTGATCTGCTGGATGCACAGTCGGAGGGTGGCGATGAAAACGGCATGATTTGGTGGGAGGGTGACGTAAATAATTCCTTGTTTAGCCATTTCTAGACGTGGCTGGCAGCAAGCTGGTGTTGTGTTGGAGTAGCTGTGCTCGAGCTAGATAACGTTGATATGACGGAAATGATTCACATGCAAAATAACCACGACTTACGACCGTGCACCTGGGATTAAACTATCATCTATCTCTCTTCGACTTCCATTAAACCCCCCCTCCCCCCCCCCTCTTTGCCCCCCACCGTTGATAGCAAAGGTTGATATCCCCAAATCCTTGCTTTGATCAGGCACGCCCAAAAAAGCTCAGCCTAGAACGCATCGCCTGTCCGCGTGGCCATGATCAGGCCGCATTTCCGTTGTCGGGTTTCGCTGTCGCACTGGGTGGCAATTGGTCCGCGTCAAATGACAGCCTACCAGTAGGGCCACGATGTTGGAAAATGGGGAGGGCTGCTTCATCGCCCCTGCATAGACCCAAAGGTTGTCAAAAGTGGCAATCCCTCGAGGAACAAAAAAAAAAGCCAAACCCGACATCGGTCTTGTTAGTTGGGGTATCATGTTAGTTGGGGTATCATGGTCCCGATTAGGAATGACCTTGACAATTGCTGCAGCGAACTGAATGCACGACTCCACCGCTTAATGATCATGTGCGCATGGGCGTAAATCCGGACTGATCCATCCATCCAATCCATCTATCCACGCCGGGGTGCGGCCTTCTTTGGAAGGCTTGCAAGCCCGGCCGCCCGTCTCTATTCGCACCAAATTTGCAACACGTCGGCAGCATGGTAGTTCGTCATCCCGGCATCATGGAGCCCGATTGTCGGTACGGAGTACACGCCGGTCGGCCTGCTGCGCTGTGATGGGCGCAATTAATTGCTATTTGTTCATTGGTGGCTGACTTTTGCCGTAGCTCTCCCCTTGATGGCTGCTATGCACGGTTGATGTCATGCACTTTCTGAAAGGAGCAGATGTTCAAAGCAAAGCAATAACGTGTTGGTATTGATGACCGGATGCTCACTGATGAGCGAGCAGCATTTTTGCTTTGATACAAGGCGCAATTATTTTGTTGGTGCAGGCAGACCAATTCGTATTCTCCCTTGAGCCACCTAGGAATGTATTCATGTATACAACTCCTGTTGTCGCCGCCATGAGATTACAATCTAAAAAAAGAACGTAAAGACCCCCCCAAAAAAGTACTCTATCATGCGCACGAGCTGCTTGTCATTCTATCAGTACAATCAGCTATCAGCTGTAACTAGTGCTTTTCCGATTCCCGATTTGACTTTGGTCGCGTCCAAGTCTTGGCCGCCTCTGCATCATTAGTCGACGGCCTCGCCAACCGTCCGATCACGTGAGCGCAACGGCACGGCGGAAAGAATGCAATGTGCTAATTATACCGATTAAATGTGGCAGTTCATCGTAAGTGCTATAAGAGTCATGTATTGGATTTGGTTTCCCCAAACCATGTAACAAGAAGCGCCGAGTCGAGTTACTATCATTGTCTCGGGACGGCCATCTGTCTCTATTCCCTACTAAAGGCAGCGCAACTAGTTTCAAAAACCTAAGCGCCATTGCAAAAAAAAAAAAAAAATCCGGATTAAAACGCAATGGCCAGAGACGAGCAAGTCGTCATTATTGGCGCAGGAATTGTTGGCGCGAACCTGGCAGATGAATTGGTATCTCGAGGATGGAGAAACATCACGGTTATTGACCAGGGTCCACTGGATATGCCTGGGGGCTCTACATCTCATGCCCCGGGGTTAGTCTTTCAGACCAATCAATGCAAGTCAATGACGGGCTTTGCGCGCTATACAGTCGAAAAGATGTTGAAGCTCGAGTTGGATGGAAAGCCGTGCTTCAACCAGGTTGGCGGATTGGAAATCGCGACAACGCCAGAGCGAGTGGAGGAATTAAAGAGAAAGCAAGGATGGGCAGCTTCTTGGGGCATCGACGCCAAGATTGTTGAAGCCGAGAAGTGTTTGGAGCTGTACCCTCACCTGAACAAAGCCTTGGTGCTTGGGGGGCTTCATATACCAACCGACGGTCTCATTCTGGCGGCTCAAGCTGTCCAGCAGCTCATCTCACAGACGCGCAAAGTGGGAGTGAGATACTTGGGATCGACAACAGTGACGGGCATCAAGCAGGAAAATGGTCGTGTCACTGGGGTCATGGTTGGCGAAGGAGTGATTCCCGCCGACATTGTCGTCTCATGTGCCGGATTCTGGGGTGTCGAGATTGGCGCCATGGTTGGGCTGCCTGTGCCTCTGCTGCCCATGGCGCACCAGTACGTCAAGACGACGGCCATTTCCGCGCAAGCCGGCAAATACCAAGGGAGGAATGGGGCCGGCTTGCCAATCCTCCGCTACCAGGATCAAGACTTGTATTATCGCGAGCACGGCGACCAGTTTGGCATTGGCTACTATGGCCACCGCCCTATGCCTGTCGTCGCCGCTTCGCTGGGCCCTACGCCAAAGGACGTCGACGAGCAGCACATGCCCTCGCGCATGGACTTTACGCCAGAAGACTTTGAGCACGCCTGGCAGCTGTCCAAGAATCTGCTGCCCATCCTGCAGGACAGCGAGATTGCTGACGGTTTCAACGGCATCTTTTCCTTTACCCCAGACGGAGGTCCCATCGTGGGCCAAGCACCGCACCTTGACAATTTCTACGTGGCAGAGGCTGTCTGGGCGACTCACTCTGCTGGCGTCGCCAAAGCCGTCGCCGAGGTCCTCACCGACGGAAAGTCGACAATCGATCTCGCCGGCTGCGACATTGCCCGCTTCGAGCAGGTCCAGCTCACTCCCGAATACGTCGAGGAGACTTCGTCGCAAAACTTTGTCGAAGTATACGACATTATCCACCCACTGCAGCCAAAGGATTCGCCGAGAAACATTCGTCTGAGCCCCTTTTATGTTCGTCAAAAGGAGCTCGGGGCCTTTTTCCTCGAGGGAGGCACATGGGAGCGACCGTATTGGTTTGAAGAGAATGCAAAGCTGCTGCCCGACCTCCCGCCTGAATGGCAGCCTGTCGAGCGTGATGCCTGGTCTGCAAGATATTACTCGCCAATTGCCGCTGTCGAGGCCTGGAAGACGCGTACAGCTGTTGCCATGTACGACATGACGCCGCTGCGCCGCCTGGAGGTGACTGGTCCCGGAGCAGTAGATTTGCTGGCTCGGCTGACCACTGGCTCTGTGTCGCGGAAGCCGGGTGCGGTCACTTACACGCTTCTTCTGGACGAGGCTGGCGGCATCCGAAGCGACATCACCGTCGCAAGAATCGAAACCGAGCTCTTCCAGGTCGGTGTAAACGGCCCCGTGGATACTGCTTACCTGCAGAGGGAAGCCCGTCTGCAAAACAAGCGTACCCCGGACCGCGCCGCCTACGTGCGCGACATTACGGGAGGAACCTGCTGCGTCGGCCTGTGGGGACCGCTGGCGCGCAAGGTCATAAGCAAAGTGAGCGCAGACGACTTTACAAACAATGGCCTCAAGTATTTCCGCCTGAAACGGGCCAGCATCGCCGGCGTGCCCGTCGTGGCCATGCGGCTGTCGTACGTTGGCGAGCTGGGCTGGGAGATTTACGCCAGCGCCGAGAATGGCGTCCGTCTGTGGGACGCGCTCTGGCAGGCCGGCCAGGAGCACGGCGTCGTGGCCGGGGGGCGCACCGCGTTCAACGCCCTGCGTCTCGAAAAGGGATTCCGCTCCTGGGGCACGGACATGAACTCGGAGCACGACCCGTACCAGGCCGGGCTGGAGTTTGCCGTCAAGATGGACAAGGCGGCAGACTTTAGGGGCAAGGCCGCGCTGGAGGGCCGCTCGCGCGAAACCTGCAGCACGAGGCTTCGCTGTCTGACGGTGGATGATGGGCGCTCCATGGTGCTGGGCAGGGAGCCCGTCTATGTCAATGGGAAGGCGTCTGGGTATGTTACGAGTGCGGCGTTTGGATACACGGTTGGGAAACCGATTGCGTATGCACATCTGCCGAATGATGTTGCAGAAGGCGACGCCGTTGAAGTTGAGTATTTTGGAAATCGAATTGCTGCGACTGTGACGGCTGAGCCATTGTATGATGCACAGATGGCTCGACTTCGTGGCTAGGATGAAGGGTGTCTTGAAGTTTAGATGATGGTTTTGGCACATTAA